AAAAAAAAAAAAACACTGAAAATTTAAGTAAAATAAAATTTAAATCTGATTGCAAATTAGTGGCCGGGAAAGGGCTCATGCAGATTCAGGTCATCGTGGTGCTAGCTGGAAACCTGCGTGCTCTGAGCTGGCAAAGGTGGAGGCTATTTACGTAATTCACCTATGTCTTTTATTTTATTATTATTATTATTATTATTATTTTCATTCTTTTTCAATCAAGCATATATATGTTAAAATCTTAATTTTGCCAGTTAAAAAACTCTTTAATTTTACTGCAATAAAAACTACATGCAGACATGTTTAGCTTTGTGGTGCGGCAAAGAAATGATGGTGGCGACGTGAGGGGAAGTGTGCCCTTTAGAAGCCTTTTTAGCAGAATAATTCAAAAGTGAAAGTAACAATAATATTAATAAATAATAATTTTAATAATTATAATAAACCCCATTATCACACCTGTACACGGCTTCGAGTTTGAGTAATTAATCCAATTTGTGAAGCCCCAGTTTATGTTATTATGGACTTGTACCTGTCAATTCAACCATCTCATGCCAACTGTCAGGAGACTATTTGTTAAACGATACATGCCTAGCTAATTTCAAACTATCTGTACACACAAGGGTTGAATCAGATCGAACACCTTATGTGGAATAATTGTGAAAAGACCCTTTTTTTTTCTGTAGGTGTTCAGGCATGAGAAAAAATAGTAAGCGTGCTCCAGATCAACTGGATGCTCAACACTGCTCGGGCTTGGCTCGAATTTGAAATGGTTTTCTAACACTGAAAACGATTTGGTGTACTATAATATATATGGATATATTCAGATAAATAGACATGTTTGAGATGCTCGTTGAGAGCTCAAACTTGCAAAAAGGGGCTCGAGTTTGACAGCGTCGAGAGAGAGAGAGAGCGACAGAGAGAGAGAGCGAAAGAGAGAGAGAGAGAGAGAGAGAGAGAGAGAGAGAGAGAGAGAGAGAGAGAGAGAGAGAGAGAGAGAGAGAGAGAGGCTATGTGAATTGCGCCAGATAACCGAATAGAGATTGCCATGTGCGAACAAACTGAATCTTTGTTAGTCGTCGTTGTGTCTCATGGACAACACCAAATGATTTCAAAATTTCTCTAAGAAGAAATATATAATTGTGGATTGCAATATGCGAAGTGTAACAAATTATTTGTTGGTAAGCTGGTAAAACGATTGAACACAAATCCAATCAAGGAGCAAAACCTAGAGATGATAATAATTTTATAGAACTTACAAAGGACTACAGGCAAAATGGCTAATTTAAAAAAAAATAATAATAATAAAAAAAATTAAAAAAAAAAAATCACATCATTATATTTCATCTCTATAGAAAGTATCTAAAAGATCCACATAAACAACCGTTTTTCAGCCTTCATGCTAACATAACTAATATACAAAATCTCAAGCATGGACGCTCAGGTAATAGCTAACCCCATCATCTTATAAGAGTTGATATTTTCCTAGTCAGAATATAGGCTAGCCTGGTGCAGCAGCTAAAAAACTTCCAGTGGGGAGAAGTAAACTTCTGGAGATGTCGAGAATTTCCAATATAGACAAACACAACATGACCTAGCATATTTCTAAGAAAAACTCTTATCAAAAAACATGAAAAGGAAAAAGGAAAATAGGACGAAATCAAAAGATGAAATTGTTGAAACCGAGAGTAAAGATTGAGTGGTATATTGCCATAACAAACTATACGTGCAAAGCAAAACATATGTGCATGATGAAAAAGAGACATACATGGTTTTATATTTCTTTTCTTGTTACATTCTACTTGGACTGCTAGAGGGAAGTGAAAGGAAACTTACTCAGTATTCAATTTGGGGGTTTGAGAAGCTGAAACCTTGAGAAAATGAAGCTTGATGTGCAAACTGCCAAATTCATACCAGAGGGAGAAAATAAGGGAACATATATATAATAGTTCGAGTGATGTTGGTACGCATTCAAAAATGAAACAGAAAGAAAATGAAAAAAAAATAAATAAATAAACTTTACTTGTGCATCAGAACCCAGCTGAGTCCTATTTGTGTCATTCTTTGAAGATCCATCAGCACTCCTAGAAGGGACCTTGGTTTCACCCTGTTGATAGGTTGGAATTCCTCATGATACTACTTAATAAATCAAACAACATTAAGAAAAAGATGCAACACGCATATTTCCATACCTCTAACTGAAAACATTGGCGACATTCCATAAAATCAGCAGGATCCCAGAGAGGGTAAAAAAAAAAAGGTGAGGATCAGATGAACCATAGAGAAAACAGATGAAAAAATAATTAAAAAGGCTTTGTCACAGAGGTTTTTATTTTATTATTTTAAAAAAAAAAGGTGAGAAAATTCAACGAAAGACAACAGAAGTTCAGACTTCAGATACCTCTCTGTATCTGGCCAAATAGACCTTCAGCGGGCCTATGTAATCTTCAAACCCTAAGGTAGCCATTGCCCACAACAAATCATCCCCATTAATTGTCTTCCTTCTCTCTTTTAGGCACCTGTCGCTTGCTCTTTGTAGGAACCACGAAGTAAAATGAGAAGCGAACCATAAAACAATATAAGCTAGAAACATCCAGTTAACCTAAATAATGAATTCAGTATACCTACATGTATGTGTACATGCAGATTGTTGGCTCGCTTTGAGAATACTGGAGCATTTAATAAATAACACACAGAAGATACATAATAAAAACACTTAACGTCAAAAGAGACATTTCACAGATGGCAATAGAAATCAGTCTTTTCCTAAGACTAAGAACCAGTACAAGCATCTTTTGCTACTGGGGAAAAAAGAAAAATAAATAATTATATTTGGTAAGGGAAAAACGACTACCCTGCTGTATAAAAGATTTTTCAAGGAACAGTGTTATTACGAACTACTAACTAACAAACACACAACACCTAAATAGCACTAAAAAAGTAGTGATTTACCCACACAAAGTGCTTAAAATTAGAAGCACGTCTACTCTTGCCAGTCACTACATCAGCCTTATCACGTATTGGAAGTAAACTGTTACTACATATGCACGATGCGTAAGATAACAATTCAAATAGTCAGAAATCCATATTAAAAAGTTAAAAGAGCGCACCTCATATACAGTATAAAAACAGAAAAATTAGTATTTGCATATTAACTATCGACCTTCACATAACGAACTGCCACTGAATCAGCACACACATGACATATTTATCATTTATCTATCGTTGTTGTTATCCTCAAGACAGAAATAAAAAAATGAGTTATTATAGGTTAATTATGACACTTGTTGATTCAAAAGTGTTCCATTGAACTGTTAATAAAATCAGCACGTCGCCAAGTGTTAAACCAATAATACAAACATCCAAATGCATGAATGATGAACCTCTCCCGTCCCTCTGGAGTGAAAAAAGAGCAGTTATTTCACAGTGCAAAAGTGAAGCCGAAGTTTCACTCAGATACCACTTCAATTATGATAAAACTAATATTAAATGGCAGCATCATTACACTTTGAGCACTAGAGTTAGATACAAAACCAAACCCCAATTCCATATCTATAGAATCAACCGAGCTCTTACATAGTATGATATGAAATGGGCTCCTAGAATTATACACAAAACCAAATCACACATGAAATAGATAAATTCTGATGCACTTGCACACGCAATTCAAGTTTCATTTCTAGGAGTCCATAAATCGTGCCAGCCAAAACAACAAGACCATCTAAAAAGGCTAGCTAGGAGAAAGCACACGAGCTCAACCAAAATTCAAATCCAATCATGTACACAGTCAAATCACACTCAAAGAAATTTCAAACACAAATTCAACTGCAGATAAAAGGAGCATCCAAAGCTATTCAAGCACGTACTCGCTGGTGATGAAGCTGATAAACTCCGATACACATTCCTGAACGGTGTCCTTGGCGTCCTTGGAAATCTTCCCGTTGGCGGGCAGAGCCTTCTTCATGATGCGGCCAATATTCGCAATCGGGAGGAATCGATCCTGCTCGCGCACGCTCGACGGTGGGCTCCGGTCCCCGCCGTCGCCGCCGTTCTCGTAGCTCCCGCCAGGACTGTCGGCCATCCCGAAACCCTAGGTTTACACACAGAACACAACTCAAAGGGGTCGCGAATGAGAGTATTTCACATAGAAAAGCGTGGGGAGTGTGTGTATCTGTACCTTCGCGGCAGGATTGAAGAGGAAAACGTAGGATTTGTATTTGGCGCGCTGTAGACAGAGAGCGTAAAGGGAAAGGAGATTGGGCGATGGGATAGGATAAATCTGAAAGATCGGACGATGGAGATATGAGGAAGGAGACTCGTTTTTTATTTTTATATATATATAGCCACTGTGTATATATATATACTAGTACAACTCTCGCGTGTGTTTGCTAATTTTTTTCTTAAAATCTAAAAATGAGAAAAAAATACTTGAAAACTTAAATACCTTTTATAAAAATATATATATTATTATATATTTAGTATGATACGTTTTATTTGTGCGACTTACATGTGTTATATTATAATAATTATTTTAACCTAAAAAATATAACTACATTAAATATAAATATATAAATTGAGAAATAATTTTATTTTTCTAATAGATTTTAATAAATATTATTATTTTTTATTATTATAAAAATAAATATAGTTTAATTTCATATATACAATATGGATATTAAATCGAAGATCATCAAAAAATGATTAATTTGATATATTATATATGTAAAACCGATAATAAATACAAAAGTTATCAACTTTTAAAATACATTTACTGTACAATGCAATAGCTAATTGGAGGGAGAAAATCAAAAGTTAGGATATATTAGTCACTTAATGTCTCACTATGTAAAATTACAATGAATGAAAGGGTTATATTAGTACGAGTGATATTAAAATATCTAATTTAGTTAAATAATATTTATGTAATGTCCAAACTTAGATTATTAATTATTAATATATCACAAAATTATTTATTCAAACCTAATTACGAAGCATGATTCTTCGCCACGTAGGATTCTGAAACACCAGAAGCAGCCACGTAGGCTCAGCGCATTCGGGAGACATTCCATAAATATTATTTCGCTAACTTAGGTATTTTAATTTCACTTGTACTAATATAACCCTTTAAGTCTTTATAATTTTACATAGTGAGACACTAAATGATTAATTTATCGTTGACTTTTGATTTGTTTCCTTCAATTATCTATTGAATTGTAATGTATTTTAAAAGTTGATAACTTTTGTATTTCTTATCGGTTTTACATATGTAATATATCAAATTAATCATCTTTTCATGATCTTCGATTTGACATCCATATTGTATATATAAAATAAATAAATTATATTCATATTTGTAATAATGAAAAATAATAATATTTATTAAAATTTATTAGAAAAAATAAAATTATTTCTCAGTAGATATATTTATGTTTAATGTAGTTATATGTTGTAAGTTAAAAAATTATTATAATATAACACTAGTAAGTCACATAAATAAAAAAGTGTCATACTAAATATATTAATAATATATATTTTATAAAATATATATAAATTTTCACCGACTTTTATCTCATTAATTGTAGATTTTAAAGAAAAAATTAGCAAGCACCCGTGTGATACACGAACGTTGTGCTATTTATTTATTTAAATGATAAAAAACGAAACATTAGGTTAATAATTTGAAGTAGACGTGAATTTTGCACAATAAGCTTTTATATAATAGAAAAAAAAAAATCTACCAATTTATAAATTGCCAACATTCTGCCCAAATAAGATTTAATGGATAATTTTTTGCTATTTTTGCAATTAATTAATAGTTTTTTTTCTTTTTTTTTTTGTGTATTTTTCAGACCTATTTTTGCTGAAATTTTACTAGTTGGTGAGATTTTCAGAATTGGCAAAAATTTACTCAATAAATTTGGCATCTGCCCCAGCTCATTGACTATCTTTTTTTTTT